AAAAAAAGAAAACGATTAATCGATTATTAAATTAGTCATCGATTATTTCAATAATCGATTAGTCGTCGATTAATCGATTAATCGATTAATCGTGGCAGCCCTACTCTCAGCTAAAGATAAATTTAATTTATTTCCATTTTGAGAAACAAATACCGGCTTTAATGATCCTTTATTTTAAACCAATTGGCACATTTAAGCTGGTAATAATAGTTCTGTATCTTTGACTTCCTGACAAAAGGAGCATTGTCTTAAAAACAACAGAACATTTCATATTTTCATATAATGAGCTGTCACAAAGTACATACAACTGCAGCTTCATTGAGTAATTTAGTTTAGGCTACTCTGTGCAATATTAATTTAAACAGTTTTATGATGATTTATATACATTTTTGTTTTAAGCAGCTGTTTTTGGTTTAGTTTTCACTGAAAGTCTAAACACTCGACAAAGAGTTCTTTTTTTTATTTCTATGCTTTACTTTTTTCTTGGCCTGAAGAGGAAAACTTTAGTTTTTCACATGCTTTATCCTGTAAATAAGTTGCAGAAAGTTTTGTTTTTAGTTATGTTCTATTTGTAGTTCTTCCAAGTTTAGATTGAAAATACTGGAGCTGTTCTTCACCAGTTGTGTTGATACTAAAAACCTCAGTCAGATCAGGTACTTGCACATTCAGCTTTATTCCTTATCTCATTTTTTAAATTGTATTGCCCATAAGCCTGACATTAAAAAAATGAACTCTGTGCAACTTATCAACAAAATAAAAATACATGCTCACTTGTATGTTTAGGGTTTAGATTCATGTTTTGGAGTAAAGTTTGAGCTGTAGGTTTGCACTTAAATTTGTCATTGTCACCTTCTTAATTTTCAGATTTTAAACGGGCCTTATAAGAAACTATCCGGGGGAATATTGTCAAGTTTATGCAACTATAAGAATCAAAATTATCATTTTAAATGCAGGTTTTCCCTTTTTGAATGAAATTTTTGTCCCTAAGGAACTTTTGTTTGTTTTGGACGCGTATTGAATTTAGAAATATTGCCTTTTCATGAGAATTACACATTTTTATTCATTTATTGTTCCTCACCCAACAGCAGGAGTTTATATTCCCGTTCAGACTTCCTCTTGTCCTTCCGGAGCTGCCTCTCGATCTCAGCGTTGATCCTCCGAGCCTCCTTGGCCTCCGGACTGAGGCAGCAAGCCCCCACCGAGCTCAGCGTCATTTTGATTAGTTATGATAAAAACTGATTATTATATATTCCTGAAGAAAACGGCTCACCTTCAACAAGGCAGATACATGCATAAAAATAAAAATAAATGTTGTTTAGGTCTCCAATAAATCCGAACCATATTCTGCTGTGAAGACAGGATTATGAATCAGTTTGAGGAAGTGCAGCAAAAGTTTGCACTAAAGAGGAAATTTGCGCAACTTTTCAGCAGCGACTCTTCCGTCTGTATGAGGTGGATCTTTTCAAAGGGGAAAANAGCTTCACTAAGAGCTGGTGCTGAGACAGACATCGAGAGACCCTGCCCATCTCCACCTCTGAGAGAGAGAGAGAGAGAGAGAGAGAGAGAGAGAGAGAGAGAGAGAGAGAGAGAGAGAGCCAAGCTGTTCCTCCTGTCTCAGTTTGCGTCTCCACAGCTCTGCGTCCAGTTCTCCTCAGTCCTGGATGAGGACCGTGAACGCACCATGTGACAGAGGAAGAGGAGGAGGTGGGGTGCTGTGATGGGAAGCCATGTGGGCTTTATTACATTATGAGAACTCATATCCGGTGTTAACTATAAATAAATGACAGAGCCAAAGGCAGACGCTTCATCTTAATTAAAAAAAAAAAAAAAAAGAAACACTGCAAGCTCTGACACAAACTTTATTTACTAAAACACCTGCAGAAACCACAGATATCTGACAAATACACAAATTGGGGGGACTCACAGAAGCTGCATGCGCCTCACATGGATGCATCTTGAGGAATCAACTCAAGAGCTTTAAAAATGCTCCATTGGTTTAAAAATAATTACAACCCCAGTTCCAAAACTAAATAGATTGCAATGATTTGCTCATCTCGTAAACCCGTTTTATTCACAACACAACATAAAACACACCAAAAGTGGAAATTATACTTTTGTTTCAGAAATAATATGATATAAAACAGGTTATTTTGATTTTTGTCCCAACTAGTGGTATGCATAAACAATAAATGTGCATAAATAAACCCTTTTGACTGTTTACGTTGTTTTGGTAGGTTCACTAATCTGCAAGAAAAATTGTAAATTGAAAGGTAGGACAATTACAAATTAATGTTCCTTCATCAAAACTTGAAAGAACTGTGAAAACCCCATCATCAAGGTCCCGATGCCCCATCAGGTCATATTATTGTCAAAAAGTTTCAAGAATCTGGAGAAACCTCAGAGCTCAAAGAACAAAACTGAAAGTAAATATTCATGCTCGTAAACTTCAGTCTCAGACTGCACTGCATTAAAAACAAGCCCGATTCTGGTAAACTGCATGCGCTCAGGAATGAAATGACCGGCCTGCAGTCCAGACCTCTCTCCATTTGAAAAAAAAAAAAAAAAAAAAGGCACATTGTGAAACAAAAACGTGGCAGAGACGACCCAGGACTGTTTAACTGGAATCCTACATCAAACAAGACTGAGAAAACGTTCCTCTCCCTCAGAATAGACATGATGATTCACAGAAGCAAACATGACTCTGTCATGTTGTTAAGATGTGGTGTCAAACTCTAAATTACCTGAAATTTGAAATATATATATATAACTACAATTTGTTAGTTTAAACGTTTGATGTGTTTACTGTGTTCCATTGTGAATTAAGGAGTTCAACGGAGTTGCAAATCATTGCATTCTGTTTGTTTACATCTTATACAACATCCCAACTTTTTCACAACTGGGATTGTAAATCATATCAGGCATTGAGGCTAAAATACAGCAAGTCAATTTCTTCAAGGGGTAAAACTAAACAAAATAATAATAATAATGATAATGGTGGCCCTGAGCTGCAAAACAGCATATTTTTTTTATAAAACATAAAATTTATGCAATTTAGAAAGCAAACTTTTTAGGAAATAAGAAGTTTACAAAATTATCCAAAACAATGCCAACTTGTTCCTTCAGAAGCTTTTCATTTACATTTTTATGTCACTTTATTTAAACACTTTTTTATTTTTGTTTTGTTGGTCACATTTGCACATCAAGGCCACTGTGCATTACATACATTAGTAAATTTGTTTTTGCCCCCCCCCCCCCCCCAAAAAAAAAAAAAAAACTTTTCAAAGTCAGGGTCAAATAAATCATTCACCAAACAGCTTTAATGTAAATATATACACACTTCTTACATTTCTCTTTTCAAGAAAAAGCTAATATTTTTTGTCCAAGTTTGACAAAATAGGACATTTTTTTGTCCACCTTTAAACAAAATTTATTTTGGTAAAATATATATTTTAGTCGTGATAACCATAAATGCAGGAACCAAAGTGTTGTTGTTGTTGTTAAACTGAAACAAGGTGCACCAACAGGAACAGCACCACAGCAGCACTCCAATTAAATTGGACTGATTTAACTTTAAGATTGTTGGTGTGGGTAGAGTGCATGACAAGCTGGTTGCTGGTTTTATTTTTAATTTCAGTGTAATCCAGATTATACTGCCAAAGGTTGACTGACCTTTAAGGTTTGCTGGCCAATATTTTGAATACATGACAAAGGCCATTTTGCCATGGTTATAAAAGTAGATGACCAGCGTTTCCTTGGTACCAATTGAACTGTAAATCGCTCTCAAATTAAGTCACCGCCACTTAAACCCACCTCATCACAACAAATCACTTCACTGTACAGCTTTACTTTTTTTTTTATCAATAGTTTACCCATTCCAAAACCATCCATCCATCCATCCATTTTCTGTACACGCTTCTTCCTTTTCAGGGTCGCGTGGGTCACTGGTGCCCATATCCAGCAGTCACAGTGCGAGGGGGCGGGGTACACCCTGGACAGGTCGCAAGTCCATCACAGGGCCACACATAGAGACAAACGAGACAGACAACCATTCACTCTCTCACTCACACCTAGGGACAATTTAGAGTTATCATTGAACCTAACAGTCATGTTTTTGGTCTGTGGGAGGAAGCCGGAGTACCCGGAGAGAACCCACGCATGCACGGAGAGAAGCAAACTCTACCCAGAAAGGTCCCCCGACCGGGATTTGAACCGGTGACCTTCTTGCTGAGAGGCATCAGCTCTACCAACTGAGCCACCGTGCCGCCATTCCAAAACCATGAATCTTTGTTAGAAAGGGTGATTAGAATAAAAATAAATAAAATCTGTTTTGGAAGAAAAAAAAAAGTTACATTCTGCTTGCTGTACCAAACCAAGAGATAAGGCCAAGAGCTGGCTCACACCACCAAGACTTTTACACAAATGGGTTTACAACGATGATAAAAACTGAAAATCCAACACAAACCCATTGATTTTTTTTAAGAACTTTAAGTAAAACCTGTAATGTATACATAGATGATGTAATGTGTGACATTAAAGGGAAGGGGCACTTCTACCCAAAGCAGAGGAATGTTGGCTCTGAACAACGAGTGCAAACAGTTTGGCAGCATGGCTTCAGTCTTCCTTCACTTCTCCTTAGAAGAACCGACCAGAATACTGCCTCACACTGGAATTAAAAGCAAAAATAAATAAATTAATTTAAATAAATTTATATTTTTAAATATTAAGTATGTTAAGGTAAATAGTAATATCACAAACATCATCATTGTGAGAAATGCCCATATCAAGGCAAAAAGGCTTTTTCCACAATTTTTTTTTTTAAATAAAGACTAAAAACTGAAATTAACCCTGAACTGTCAGAATGTGAAGCTGAAATCTTTAAAGTACTTTGTTCTCACACTCTCAGCTTAAATTGAAAAAGAAAAACTATTTCATTTTTTTGCTAAATAATATTACAACTCTGTTCACAATAAAAACATTATTTTAAAGTGACTTAAAGTTTAAATGTATCCATTTATGTCAAAACAAACACAAAAATACTTAGTTTCCATCTAGTAAAGAAAGAGTTGCACAGAGTAGGTCCTTCAGCTCCAGTGTGATCATGTTTATGGGGAGAGTACGTGCCTGTTCTGCAGTAAGTACTGGGCGTTCTGGATCTGGTCCTGTGTCCCTGTGATGGTGATGATGCGGTCCTCAGAGCCCTCTAGTGGCTCATCAATCTTGATGGAGGCCCCAGACTCGTGGCGGATCTGCTTGATCCTCTGGCCACCCTTCCCAATAATAGAGCCTGCTAGCTGCAGAGTAAAAATCACACCAGCCAATTAAATTAAGAGGCTTTTTTCTTTTCTTTTTTCTTTTTTACAAATCAGTGTCTCTGCTTACAGGAAGAGTTATATTTACTTACATCTTTCGGGATGGTAACTTGTGTTGTGATGACTGGGCCTCCAATGTCGCTGTATGAGCCTCTACCACCTAGAATATCAGTAAAGAAGTCTTAAGAGAGACACGTCTTTGATTGGAGAACACAGTTAAAATTAAACATGTCCAGCAGCTTCGGACATAATACAATGAGAGAGGATCGATCTCGATCACTCATCAGACTGAAATGTGTTCTAAAAAGAATTGCTTTTAAAAATAGATAACAAAGAAAATTAATAATGACATAAAAATAGAATAAATTGAATATTTCTGGAAGCATAACACCAAAATCTTATTTTGAGATTACCTCATAAAATCTATTTGACCAGAAATAATTAATCAACTCATGACAACAAAGTGTCAGAATTATTATTATTTTTTTAAATAATACGATTTGATTTATATTTCCAGTTGAGTAATTTAAAGGCTCTAAACAACATATTTTCTTGCCACAGTATTTGATTTCTTGCTCTGGTCGACAGATCCTGAAAGGTATTGGAGAAAAATGTGTGCAATAAAAACTATGAAGAATGAAGGTGTCAGAAAAGAAATAAAACGGAGGTAAACTATGAAATAAAACTTAAAACATAGTATCTATTCACTGCGAAGCAAACAATGAGGGAATGATGTTTTGTGGGTATTCCTAACAGACAGTAAAACTGTCGTTCATAAGTTATAGAACAATTTTAAATTTTGTGCAGAATTTATGTCAGGAAAAAAAATAAAACTTACCATATCCACTTCCACTCTGCAGTTCAGAATTGAATAAAGGGAAGGGAGAAGATAAATAGTTTAGCTTTGGTTAAGCTTACAATGTGACAAAATCTATACAAATGCATGAATTTACAATAACAATGTGAATGTAAGAAGAAATCACTGAACTATCTAGATGCTTCCTAAAGTTTAGAAGTTTGTTGATTTTAATATTGCTCATTTTAACATATCTTGCACTCGTCTAAAAAAGTTATTTGAAACTTTAAAGCAACTTTTGAAAAACTTTCATTTGAAAATAAAGTTTAATAAAACTGAGCTCAGAATTTTCCATCAAAAGAGCTCAGGTGTGGAGACAATCTAACATTTTTCTAATGCCAAGCGCCTGAAAGCATCATGTGTTATGACTTATTATCAAGAACAGCTGCTGTATTGGTGGGTAAGCCAAAAAAATATTTTGCTTCATGTGTCATTATTAAACACACTTCTATTCGGTTTTCATTATGCTAGCAAGAGACCCTTAATGTGGCATCTCTATACATAAAACGGGAAAATATTTTTGCAGGCAGTGCTGTGGGTCTGATATTAGAACAAAAAAATAAATAAATAAAATCATATTCACAGCTGAAATGTGACACTGGTGTGATATTGGTGGTTTTCATCCATCCGCTATTTTTTTTAGTATTTTTCTACAATCTTACATAAAAAAAAAAGCTACTCACAGCTAAAACCTGCAGAGAACCACTTTAGGAACAGCTCAAGTTCAATTGCTAGCCTGGTGGATCTCTGGACTACACACTCAACTGTTGCCAGGCAACAACAGGTCTACGAGTGTGCGTACGCAGTGAAAACAGCAGCAATGTCAGAGCTACTGCGCCGTTTTACACTCGGAGGAGAAAATGCAAGCTTATCGCGTGAAACACAGTTCACAGACGAACATTACAGCCGTATGGAGTAAGAGCTGTGCTGATGACACTCACCATGCTGTCGTATCGGTCTCCTCCTCGAACTCTTCTGTCGCTGCGAAACAAACAGGATTATTTTCAAGACGACTTTCTGCTTCACAGGGATGATGCTTCTTGATTATACAGATACGTTGCCAATATGAGTGGCTCAGCTTTAAAAAGAAATGCAAGAGAAAGGTTTGCACCTGGGTCTGTCATCCATGCTACTGTGATAGCTGCCATGTGAAAACCTGTCTCCACTGCAAGCAATGACAGAATACAAAAGTAAGTTGTGAAGTTTAAAAAAGTATATAAATGATCTAAATAATTAAGAGTCTTAGCCCCCCCTTCCTCACCCTCCTCTTGGAAGTGGCGGCGGTGGAAGAGGCAGATTTCGTGCCCGGCTCCCCACTCGTCTGCTGAGTGGCGGCGGAGGACCCCGGCGGGGGCTCACATCGTCATAGTCCCTTCTGGAAGGAGGCATGGGTCTGCTGCGAACAGGGGGCATGCGCTCAAAACCCCCACGCACGCGGATAGGGAACCCACCCATGGGCCTCCTGCCCCTGTCCTCGAACAACACGGTGAAGCCGCCGTAGTCGTACGTCTCGTCGTAGAAGTTTGGGTCATAAGGCTGGGTGCGACCTTTAATTGGTGCCTGCCAATGAAAAATAATACAATAAAACACTGTTTTAAAAAGGCCATCTCTTTTTTTTCCCATTTTGGTGAGCATGTGTGAAATGTATCATAAGTTTTCTGTCCTGAGCTGACAGAAGTGGCACCAAGTGGGGTCTTCTGCTAATGTAGCCCATCTGCTTCAAGACTGGACATGGTTCAGATGAGGATATTCTGCATCCTTTGGTTTTAAAAACTGGTTGTTTAATAATCTACAACCAGTCTGCCTGTTCTCCCCTGACCTCTGCCATCAACAAGGCCTTTTAGCCCACAGAAATGCCAATCACTGGATGTTTTTTTTTTCTTTTCTGGACCATTCAGTGTAAACACTAGAAATGGTTGCACGTAAAAGTTGCAGTAATACTCAGACCAGCCCACCTGGCACCAAAAATCACATCGTATTTACAGTCACTTAATTCCCCTTTCATCCCCATTTATTAATGCAATTTTCACATCTATATGTCATAAGCAACAATGCGATTGGCTGATTAGCTATTTGTATTACATGTAATTAGACAGGCACACCTAATAAAGCATTTGATGAGTGTAAACGCAACATATACAATTTTAAAACTTTCAGGAGTTAAAACTTACCTCTGAAACAAGCTCCAGGATAACTTTTATACATTCAATGACACGTTTAGGCTTTCCTCCCACTAAGACAACTCTGTCGGTGGAGTGTGGACAGCATTCCTGAAACAGCTTGATGGTAGTCTGGGTGTTCTAGTGTACAGAAAGAAAAAGAAAAAACTTAAGGAGTGTCATTTTCTGAGCACTGAGTGCACTGAGAACCAACACCTTCTCTTTCTAAAGAAAACCATTAATGTCACTGCTGTTAAAACTTGTTAAATGCAGTTCTAAAAAAAAGTGAATGTAATTGCTTAGAAAATAAGTTAAAAGGGTGAACAAATGGTTCAAACATTTTAAAATTCTAATTGTCCTCAATTTTTTTGTTTTTTTACACATCATTTTTTAGTGTAGAGGATTAAATTTGCTGATTTGAGCTCTGCCCTACCTCTCTCAGTTCCTTTATTTTGGCACCTTTCACTCCGATGATGCCTCCAGCCAAGCTCTGATGAATCAGCAGGCGAAGCTCACAGTCAAAATCGGTTCCGCTGTAATGTTGGTACTACAGAGGAGTAAGATTTGTCATTGTTAGTAGTTATTATCTAATATTGATTAGCTAAATAGTTTTAGTAATTAAATACATTGTTAAAGTAAGAAGGTCCAAAGAAGCAGTTTTAAAATACTCGTACTTAAAATTTAAATATTTGATTTAATTTGTAAAGATATAATTCTGTAACATGTGGTGGTGTGACAGATGGACTAAATGTTGACTGAATTTAAGAACCACAATCTGCTTTAGCTGAAATTAACCTGTAAATTTTAATTAAAATTGCAAGCAGGCAATAGCTTTTAAATGTGGCATTCTAAAAACTTCAACAAAAACATGGACATGCGGTGAAGCCCGGGTTTATTAAGCCAATAAATGAATTACAGTGCAACTTTAACTTGTCTACCACCCACTGGCCGATTGTCACACCATCATTTCAACGTTCCCTCCCCACCCACTTACCCTCAGGAGACTTTTCTGCTGAGCTGGTTACAGTAATAGTTCAGACCAACAGCCAATGACAATGTGAGCAGAATGTTAAAGGAGCAATATCATGTAAAATCAACTTTTTTGAGTTTTATATCATGTTATAATGTTATACTCTCATAAAAAACATGCCCAAAGCCTTGCTTTGACTCATTCATGCATGTTTGAGAAATCCTGCAGCGTTTTTAGGCAGCCATGCTGAGGAGCAAAACGACAGGTGGGGACCAGAAACGCCCCTGGGACGTGTCTTTAGGCCGAACTTCCTCATGGCAGAGCACCGCCCCCCTCCCAGCCCACACACCCCGCCCATGACTCCAGCATGCTCTTGGGTGAAAGTGAAACCTAACTGTCTGCTGAGCTCTCAACATTAGTTCTCACTCAGTGAAGCTCTTTTCAGATTAAAAATACCTTTGAGGAAATGTATTTTCAGATGCCAAGTAAACTGCATCTAAGTAATCATCAATTAATCATGGCAACATAAAAATGTTTGTAATCAACAAGTCTAACATTTCAATGGAAAACATGAATGGTCTTAAACTGCTAACAGTCTACGCCCACAATTACCACAACTTACCTCCTCCAGTGTTGGTATGATTTTCAGCAGAATATCTCCAATGGTGTCGATACTGGCGTTCACACTAAGGATCCTGCAAGAACCATTTTGGCCAAAAGGAAGCAAAGGATTAGAACAGATACAGTAAAAAAAGGAAGCAAAACCTGATGAAAAATTTAAGAAAAACAGGCCAGAAAAGCAGTTAAAGACTCATGAAAGGTTTCAAACTAAAAGGAAATGAGAAATTAAAGGCTGCTGCATCTTTGGAAAAATCATTACTTTACCTTAACACTAATCTGACTTTGAATAAGCAGCAGGCATGCACTGAATCCTTAGGAGGACGGGCAGATTGCAAACGGCTCAAATCAAATGAGAGACACAGATTTAAGGGAGGGCTGTAAGAGCGAGACCGATCTCATCCCACCACCGGCAAGATGGGGGGGGGGGGGGGGTAACAGTCTAAAATAACAGCTTGCCATGAAAACTGCACCACCAGCTCACCTTCTCGTTGTGACCAGGGGGATGGGGGACTGGGGAAGAAGGGGGGAGGTTGGGAGAAGAGGGCTAGGGCACCGAGGTGAGAGGAGACAAAGGTGGGCATTAGAGAACAGTAACAGCAGAGGGGTTGAGGAGGGGAAGGAAATGTGAGAGGTTACCAAGTGCTTGGAGGCACAGAAGAGGAGTAGGTGCGGGGTAGGAGGTGGGGGCTATGAAAACATTTTGGTAGGCAGGTCTAATCTGATGTGACCTGAGAGAAATTCAACGGGGGGGGGGGGGGGGGGGGTAGCACAATGAAATCAAGAGACGACGTTAATGAAGTGACAAAGCGAGCAGATAGAGCCTCCACATGACAGCCAACGCTCTCAGATCATGAACTAGTGATGGTGAAAACAGTGGAGGGGGTGGGGAAGGCAAAATAGGAGAAGACAGGTGGGGGTAAGGGGCAGGGTGGGAGAGAGCCAGGTGGGTCACAGAAGACAGAGCGAGAAAACTATGTCTGCTTTCCACAAAATTTAGAATAAACTTAAGACATAACAGCGAGAAGAGTCCCCATCCAACTGCTGTGTGTAAAATACAAACTACTGGGGAGTGGGCTGTTATACGACTCACTATCTGTAATGACAAAGTCAAACTTAAGAGAGGTGCGACAAATGGACAGAAACAAAAAAATCAAGGAACAATACGTCTCTAAGTGGAGGAGGGGGTGTTTGGAAGGGGGGGGAGTAAACTGTCATGTATAAAAATGTTCAAATGAAACAGAATGCAGGTTATCAAAGACATGTGTTTCACTGTGCTAGTCAGGCAGTGAGGCAATAACTGGTGGGACATACCGCTCTGGGCCACTGCTGTCTGGGACTGATACACTGGCATTGTACTGCATGGGCCGAGGTGGAGGTGGTGGTGGTGGAGGTGGAGGTGGAGGAGGTGTTGGCATTGGGCAGGGGCATTCAATCACATCATGTCAAGTTTGGTGCCCGATTAAGGAGTGGGGCACGGTTTATGGGCAGGGCCCACCGGGAGTGTCAGGTGGGCGGGCGTTCAGGGGCGAGCAGAGAGTTGGGCCAGCGTCAAGGTGGGCAACGCAGGAGGGGCATGTCGATCCAGAACATGGGCAACGAAGGAGGGTGGCCAAAAGTCAAAACAAAAACATAAAAAAAGTAAAGGAGAGGGGAAGAAGGGGGAGAAGGAATACAGTTTTAATTGAATACAAGCTACACGTTGTCCCAAAAGTCAAAAGAGAAACGCTGGTGAGTGAAGAGGAACAGGAAAGGTGACTTGGACAAAAAAAAATAAATTTAAGCAAACTGGAGTAAAATATTATTTTACATTACTGAAAACAAAAAGACTTTCCCACATCAGGGTCATAGTCATCTGTTGTCATGTCACAATAAAACATAACTGCAGTTCTGTGAGGGCAGGGCTAACTAACATTTTGCACTTGTTGCACCAACCACGTCGCATTTAACATCTGAGTTTTACAGGTTCGTTTAACTCGCAATTAAGTAGTTAATCTAGTAAAGATTAAAGGTTTTTTTTATTTGAACTAGAAGTGTACAAGATATATAACTTACTAAGAAGTATTAAGAGTGATTTTATGTCCTGAAATTTTAACTGAAAGTTTCTCAAGATAAATGAAATGAAAGAAATAATCTAAATTATATGTGTTTAAGGGCTGAACATCTTATAAACATGTCAAACTAAACATTTCATGGTTAAATGCCTCTCAGATGGCCAACTCCTGTAGTTTGGCCTTCTGGATCTTTGGCCTTGGCTAAACCAGAATGATGAACACATGATCGACAGCAGAAATATTTTTAAAACTTATTGAGTGGGCAGATTTATATATATAAATATACAAAAATTACAGAACATGAAAAAGTCTGCAATTAAATTAGCATTATTTAAATGTTGTGCATCTCTGACTTAAATAATTGATATATACTTAAACAATTAATATATATGTCTAGTCATAAAACCAATTTCAGATACGTGGAACATAACTGTGGTGAAGCCGATTAAGTGTAAAAGCGGCTTGCCATACCAATGATCTCCTGTGCTCAGAGAGCAGAAGACGACTGTTAAATAAGCAAGATGGACCTAATTGCAAGCAACCGTCCACACCTTTTCATCTCCACCGTTAACAAGAAAAAAAAAGTTTTCTGACTCCAGTTTGAATAAGCAAATAAATAAATAAACAGTTGTCTCGCTATGCGTGACATGGGTGCAAATTTCTGTATAATTTCTGTATAAATATTATTTAAATAAATAAGTTAAGTATAGTCAAGAAGTTAGGAATGAAGGATCTAGATAAAAAGGGGGTATCAGTAAACTAAACCTTTTCCTCATGATCAATTGAGGACATTTTATCTGCTTACTTACGTCTGTGCGCAGAGCTTTTATGTTCTTTCCTCCCTTTCCGATAACAGCTCCAGCATTCTGAACACAAAAAAATAGCTTTGATAAACAAAAACAGAAAAAAGAAAGGAAAAAAACAGCCATGTGACCTGACAAATATAGCAGGGTCAATTGTTTTTTGACACTACTTTGCTCTGAAGCAGCACTCGAAGTTCCACCATCTCATCTGTGTTGCGTGAGCGTTTGAAGACCTGCTCCTCATCCATGTCCTCAGCAGGACGTTTACCTGAGGGGAAGAAAGTGGGAAAAAAAAGTCAAATCTGATACAGAGGGCATTTTTAATCATTGTGTTATGTATTTGTAACAGAGCGACATAAATCTGATAAATTGCATAGCTGCTTTACATGATGATACAAAAGGCAAAAACAAAAGAAAATGTGAAAAAGAACGGGTTTCGTTCAGCAGCCAATAGTATCCTGGGTAAGTTCCAGCACCGACATGAACACTTCCTGAAAAAAAACATGGGCAGATCTGTTCAGGGTCCACAGAACAGCAGTATCCTGGACAAGAAAATCCCTCGACCATCTGACACGTCCACATGCTAAGTGTTGCTAGCCAGAAATACTGATTTTTTTTTATTGTATTTTTTCTTCATGAGCAAACTAATTACCCAGCATATCTCTAAACCATTTAAGCTGGCTGCAAAGCTAGACAGGCTGAGTTTATTTTCACTCTAATGTGTAAGCTTAATCATGCATTTTACAGCATATTCATTTATAAAAAGGACAAAACAAAGACGTTGAGAAACTCACCATTAGTGTCAGAATTGCTGAATGCAATGTCTTCCTCTTGCTGTTCCACTTTCATCTCCATTGTTATGAATTTGCCTTGGAAAGCAAAGTGATTTCCCTCTTTGGATCTGTTTTAAAGTGGTAATTGTAGAGTTCAGAGGGAACAAAGAGGTGGAGTTGAATAATAAAGACTGTCAGGAATATTCTGCACAAAGAAAGGAAACTATATCTGATTGAATACTAAGTTTGCAACAAACATTTATACTGCATGTCCTACCTAATTAATATTGCCTTTTGCTCATCTACACCCTTTAAAGCAGCAGTTCTTTTTTGTATTGGACAAATCTTAAGCAATTTTTGCCAAACAAAACATTTGGAAACAAAACTGTTTTTACAATCCTTTTCTAAATATTCACTAGTGTTTAGGCTTACTGTAGAGGCATAAAAGTGTATTAAAGTTCTGCAAAAATGTTAGTATTTATACTCGATGTGTAATTGAATAAATGCACAGTTGCACAATATTTATATAATTTGGACTTGTCACAGTAAACTTTAGTTCATTTAAGCGTTTCAGTACGCACATGTTGCTCCTCCAAGTGACAAGATTTTAATCGCAATTCCAACTATAAAATGACAGAACGTGTAGCTTATTTACAAAAGACGTGTGTATCCGGGTACACTGGATGCTGATCAACACCCACACATAAAGCTAACAACACTCTTTTTTTTATCTACTGCGTGTTTTTCGAGAAAAAGCTGCCTACAGCTCCTAACTAATGTGTTTACAGAAGTCCTCCACAGCTCAGCACCTAGTCTAGAGAACAATAGGAAATTTGAGAAAATAACTCGCCCCAACGTAAAGCTTTCTTTCTTATGTTCGTTAAAATAAACGCTGACAGTGTAAATGTCCAGGCTCGCCTGCGCACAATTAGCATCGCAATGTTAACAGTCTCCTGCTAATAGCTCTGCTAAGCTAGCTGGTCAGTTTACGGGGTGTCCATCGGCTGCACTGACCCGAGCACCTAAAACCGCGCACTCAGAGCGACCCAAATGTCATCGGTGGTATTTTATTCAATCCTTCCCAGCAAGAAAAAAAAAGGCTAACTAACACAACGATACAAAAGCCAATCAATAGAAAACAAACCTGCAGCAACACCACGTTCGCTACGGTCCTCAGCAGTCGCCTCGCCCTCTGCTTTGTGTGGGTGAGCTCGATTTGTCTTTGACGGACACACACAGGGCTTGCCAAGTCAAAACAGGTAGGCGGGTCTAAGGCAATACATTCACCATAATAAATGAGTATACCAATAATGGCCACGCAGAACAGTTCCTCTACATCTCCCTAAATAGTCCAGTTGGATTATACTGTGTATGTTAAACTCACATGAAGATAAATTGAAGTCAGTGTGTCAAAAGACCCCGCCTCTCCACTGAAGAACGCGCCGTCATAAACGGCAGAGTGCATAGACTCTGAATGAGCTTTTTATGTCCTGAATTTTGACTGTCAGGTCTACAAGACCTACTGTAATTTGGAACTACGTTGTTAAGACACTAACCCAGAGGTTGCGAGCTTGATTCTTAGTACCAACCCCGTCCTTTTAAGTCACTTTATTTACTTTACTTCCCCACTCCATTCAGTCCTAACCTCAAGCCATCCATGAATATCGATCCTACCTTTAATCATAACCCCATCACTAACCCTCCAGAAACCAGACACAAAACATAACACTCAAACAAAAGCACTAACAGGTGCCCACCATGTTGTTTTTATAGTGACATGCACCAGACATAGTGCATCTCAAATCATGTGTGAATGTAAAGAGAAACAACTGATCCATGCACCATACAGTGTGAACCATGTTCTCAAGTTTCAAACTGAGCTGGAGTTGTGCTCTGTACCAAATCTTTAACAGCTATAGGGTATCATGGAAGGATCACAAAATAAAACCCCAGTCACTCTGCAGAGAAAACGTATTTCAGATGAGTGTTTTGGCTTGTTCCATCCTTTCCCATTCTAGGTACTTAAGCTCCTCCACTTGGGGCAGAGGCTCATTTCCAACCCAGAGTTGGTGATTCATCTTTTTCTGGTTGAGGACCACGGCCCCAGACTTAGACGTTCTCATCCCCATGTGTTTAGATATTCTACAGAACAAACTCTAAACTTAAATTCTAAATCCAAGAATGCAAAATGATTTGTTCAACAACACACTGACTGTATGAACCACACTGTGTGTGCATCAAAAAGAATTGCTCAATGATGCAATCAACGAATACAATTTTTTTCAATTAATACACATTTTACAAACTCCTTATTTTACTTTTCTCTTACTCACACTGGAGAAAGTTTAAAATTGTTGAAACCTACATCAGTTAACAACAAATTACAGACGTTTCAGGTTTTTATTTAGTTTTAAAGTAAATACAGTACTAATGTTTTACTAAATGACTTTACTCAGAACAATTCTGAGCAATAATACAAAGTCAGATGGCAAATCTATAGTTTTTCTGTGCTTTGGTAATTCAGTATTAAACCTTAAATCAGCCCTGCTTTTGTAATGGAATGATACTCATTTTATGTTGTGTATTTACTTTTTATTTTACTTTTTCCTGATAAAAATGTCCAGTGTGAATTTATTGATGCAAAGAGTTGGTTAACTTATGACAAAGAAATGGTTTATGCCAGCAACTGCTAATAAGTAATTTGAGTCCTAAAAAAGTTTAATTTAAAGTTTTGAATGTTTCTATTTTTTCATGATTTTCCTTTTATTTTTTATTCCATTTCCCTTTTTGTAAGGTGTAATTTAAAGGTTTATTAAACGTGAAACAATAAGCTATGTTCAAAACAAGCATATTTTTATAAACACATATCGGAAGCTGTTTGCTAACTTACTTTTTTATTCTGTTTTGTTTTGTTTTGTTTGTGCTTTGATAAGTAAAGTGTTTACATTCCCAAACAGAGGGTCAAAATGGGATTCCTAAAAGGTCAGCAACCTCAGAATTTTTCTCTCAATGCCAAAGAAGTGGACCTATACTTCTCGGCACAGCACAACTTTAAAACTGTTGACACTTGTAAGGCATGAATGATGGTGCACTGAACTATGAAAGCTGCAGGATTGTCACTGTGTTCCCAGCATCTGCAAAGATGTCTAATAAAAAAGAGGATAGAGGGGCTGTCGGCTCTGTCCTGTCCCATTCTGTTTTATTCTGAAGTCTACGCAACAACCAACCTGTTGCAGAGAACTGTATGTGAGATCTGTCCAATCTTTGGTGAGACCAAGGTCAGGGTTTACAGTTGTCCAGTCTCTTGTGGGGGCGTGGCCAACACTGGACCCTTGGGTCAAGCACTGGACAATGCTATTTGCCAATCAGAACAAGACGAGATACAGTGAGAAGGTAACTTGGCTTCAATGTGACAAAAAGGGATTTTGCTGGGTGACCTGTTGGGATTTTCCCAGAGTGACCCTTCCTGGTGGGACACATGAGACCTTGTTTCATAAAGTGGACTGCTTTCCCTCTTATTCTAAATTTGAATCCCTCCACGCTTGATGAGCAAGTTCATGTGCCCCAGTTTGTTAACCTTCGTGATTCTCTGATTACCATTTTTACAAACCACTGGCTCAAAAGGATGTAACACAATGAGACCCAAGACAAAAATGTAGAATTAACTAAAAAATGTTTATTTAAATTAAAAATTAGATATGGAAGGAGACGAGCCAAGCTGCACCCAGACAGCCTGCAGCAGAGGGAGGACAGAGCAAGACCCCTGTCCAGGAGGGAAATCGTCCCTTTAAGTAGGTTGATCATACCTGCAAATGGTTAGCAGGTCAGGTCTCCATGTGAAAAGAGACCGCATACACACACACGCGTAACACAATACAGAATGTAACAGGATTAATATTGTAAATGATTCCACTTTTATTTGGCCCAAGTTGGACTAAGTTACGGCCAAGTTCAGCGTGGTTACAAGAACATGAGTGAGTTTATCAAACAGAAGACTGAACCATCTACTTCCCATTTGTCTCCAAACTTACCAAATGCGTCTTGGTAAAGCCTCATTGTTTTGAAGGATCTTTATGTCATTCACTTAAAGGCTACATCCTGTTTAGGCATGTAGCAGAGCAGAACAGATTTCTGGTGAAGGATAGAACAAGCCCTGTAACCCCCTGGCAAGTTCCAAGCTCGATATAAATGCAGAGGAGGACAAACAAACTCTCTTGGCACAAAGACTGAAAAGTATGCAGCAGCGTGGATACAACCATAATAAAAATCTTAGTCATGTTTTGAAACCTAAAACCTTAAAAAGATGCACTTGACCGTAATTTGATCTCTGCAATATAATAATGGTCGAGTCCTTCTTCAACTCATCAGCAAACTGAGTGTTTTCCCCCCATGCCTCTTTTAATACTCCACTGACTAAAAGCTCATGGGAGCGCATTAACAGAACGCCTCTGTCTGTGACTTCTGAACTGCCGAAGGAGTGTCAACATGGAATGGGCTGTTTGCCCATTTAGCAGTACTGTCTTCTGAAAGAGCCTAAAGAGTACACTTTATCCCTCAAGCTGTGATGCAAATTCTTGGAACAGCACTTCGTCCTTTCCCCATTCTTTCCAGCGCTTAAATGTATTTGAGTGACTCCGTCAAAAAATGTTGAGTGGCTTTGAAGACAGTGTGGAGATAATCTGGTTGTAAGTGGAAAAAAGACGAAGCAACCAAACGACAGGAAATTGTTCTTTTGAAGTGAGGATAATAAAAAAAATATATAAAAAAATAACAATTATGAATCGGCCAAGGTGGTCAGAACACATGTCAGTAAAGTATGGGTCAACAGGCATGAAAAAATCAAAGTGTTACATACATGTTGAAGGGCTAGCTCATTCCTTCTCACCAAAAGTGTGTTCTGCTCTGCTAGGTCTACATGCAAATACAGGATGTGACGGTACAAGTGCCTTTAAGGGCAAAGGGAAAGTGAAGGTGTATAGATGTATCAACAGAGTTGTGGGCCCCATCGACCCTAAAGGCCTGGGGCCTCCCCTAACCCTTCAGATGCCAGCCACCCTAAAGGCCCAGTGTGTCATGAGTCCTCTACTGGAGGAAGAGTGAGGTCTCCATGGCAGACAAATAAGACACTAATGCTCAAAGAAGAAAATGAGCCATGGGCGAATGAGAGCCTGAAGGATGATGACAAAATACTGTGAGCAGGGTCTACAATAACTGGTTAACTTGACGTTAGCCCAAAGTAACGCTGTGATTCTGGGATTTTAGATTTCTCTTTAGCTTAGCTCATGTGTCAAAGCAAATAGTGATAATTTGTCTTTGTATTACACATATAGGGACAAATGTTAAAATATTTTCCATTTTTGTCTCCCGTCACTGAGTTGGGGGACTTAGAAATGCTCTCCGTCCATCCGTCCGTCCGCCCGTCAGTCTGTTACAATTTCAGAAAGCTGTAACTTTCACATACAAAGGCTAAAATTCACCCAACTAGGTATGAGTCTTCCATGTTGCATGCTCGACCACACCTGTCATGCCCAAAATGTGAGCTTAAAGCTGAACAAAGCAACTTTGTCTTGACTTCCTATGAGAAACAAGTTTTATTTTGAAACCGAGATCCAGTTTTGGCCCCACTTTTTCCTTCTATGGCTGGATGTGGACCTAGCTGACACCGAAAGAGTAACTCGTGCCTCAGATGGTCCAAGCGAGCAAGAGGCTGTAACGGTTCCTTGCCACTGTTCGACCTCCCCAGATACCTGGACAGGTGACAGACATCATTGTCAAAGGTAAAGCTGGCTGTTTTACTGTGTTGCTGGTCTGACACATCGAGAGAGAGAGATGCCTTGCCCTAACTGGTTAAATCCCACATTTATTTAAGATAAAAGTTAGGAAAACTAATCTCCTACTTTCCTCCTTTTCTTAAACTATCTGCCTTGCCAACCTAAGTTAAGTGCCTGCAAATGTCTGGTATTCAAGACCTAAGCTTGATGTTTGCCGCTTCTATTTTAAA